AATTTCCACACTCGTTGGTGGTGTATGTCCTCATTGGTATTTAATTGTAGGTATGACTCTAAATCCAGAGTCACCTACAAGCCAGATTATTTGCCCAGAAATATGAACACAGATCCTAACAGGCTCAACTTTGATGTGCTTCAGATGGAGAAAGAGCCCTTACACACACTAAAGGCCTTTGCTCAGCCCCTCTTCTCACCCGCAAATATCTAAATGGGTAAAAATAAACAATGTCACACAAATCCAGGGGGAGAATAATCCAAATTCAATTCTTTGTGAAAACAGGATGGATATTTTTCACCAATGGATGCAGCCAGAAACTTATGTAGAAACCATACAGGTGTTGATCCACTCTTTACTTTGCAGTGACCATATCTCCATGTATCAACCACTGCAAAGCAACCCAAACTGCAAAATCAGTGTCTCTTGACTATTTTCCATGGGCCAGTCATCCATTGTAAAAATGGAGTGCTTCACTAGTTGCTCTCCAAAAGCTGAAGAGCTTAGGCTAGGAAAGCTAAGTTGTGTGTTGATGATTTCACATTTGTGGAGTGAACTGGGAATGAGAACAATGAGCTAAGTTGAATGCTACCAAGATGTTTGTGTGGGATAGAATAAAATTCTTGACAATTTAGTCAAAATATTAGTATTTCTGATGATGTGTCTTTCAGATTCCTGAAATGCTACAAATTATTTCCATGTTTCTTTGCAGGAAGATAAAGTTCTTGCCCCAAATCTTAGGTCACAGTTCAGCAAGATATTTAACTATGTCACTAACTTTATTCAGATGATCAAAAGCATCCACTTGTTTTCCATTTGCTGAACCAGAACCTGCAAATACACATGTGGATATGATGTTCCACTGAATTAAAATGCAAAGTTACTTGCATGAATTTGTGTTGGCAAAGCTGGGACTGCATAAGGAATGGTATTTAGCTCTTATAGTATATTTTTCTTACAGTAAATTTCTAAATGGTTTGCAGAGTAGGTTAGTATCGTTCCCATTCTATGAAAACAGAAAAGCACTTGTTTCTAAGCAGATCATTGTCAGAGCCAGGATTAGATCCCATGTTTTCTGAACAGCAGAACAATGAACTATCTGCAAGGTCATGCAACCTTCTTTTTATGCTTAAATAACTTTTCAATCTTATCTCCCCTTTTTATGGTGGTTAGATGAACTACTGTAGTAAAAACAGAAATTGCAGGCAGAGAATGGCATGCAAGAAATATGAAAAGAGTAAGACTCAATTGTTACTTTAATGTATATACCTAAGTTTTCTTGTGAGGCTTGATCCAAAGAATGACTCCCTACTAAACATGACATTACTGTAAAGTGAAGAAAAGTTATTAAGATGAGACGTTAATGATTACCCATGAAAAGCTCTATGAAAAAGAATGGGAACAGCCTTTCATTTGCAGTTAATGTAGTGTGCAGATCAGAGTGGCCTTCTTCCCCTTCCTGTTTTTTGGCAGATGCATAAAGAAGAAATGCTGACAATGAAATTTCCACCTTGCAAAGTATGGCTTTATTTTCATTATGCTGTTACTACTGGCAATAAAAAAAATGTACTATATTATATGCATTCTTTCATATTCACATACTAGGAAGGACTAGTGTTGATTCTGCCACTTAAAAAAAATCAAACCAACTTTCCAAAGGTAGAGAAATATTATTTATCTTGTAGAAATAAGGAAACAGGAATAAGTTACTGTTCTGAAATGAACATGCTCTTCTGATGTCTACAGTTGGACAATGGTGATTAGGAATAAGACCCTAGGAGAAAGTTCAAAATCCTTTGCTAAAGTACCTGTACATACAAGTGTCAAAGTTCTGACACTAGTCAAGATCAGTGGAATAGCTGCTAACAACAGCGCTGAAAAATCAGGCCCACAATTCCTCAAACACAGATGTAAAAAGTTGGTTCAAAATAAACAATGTCTGTCAAGCAAAGGCCCAACTTAAACGTAGGTGAATTAATTTGCTGAATGATTTGCTGCACTCCAGCAGAAATGAACATTAATACATATATTTCATAAATCTTCCTTCTTGGGAGCTAACCAGATGAAAAAGCTTTACAATACGTGCAGAAGAGCAACTGCTATCTGAGTTTTCATGGGCTGGTAGGTTTAGGCACTGATTAAGGAAGAAAAAGCTAGTGGCACCTCTGGCATAAAGTCACTAAGCTCCCCGCCAGTGAGCAATGAATAGCACAGTCCCAGTTCCTCCTGGTTTGAGGGACTATAGAGGGCACGTAGGGAACATGCTATTCTTAAGAGAACAGCATCATATGTACTACTTCCCACCACTGCTTACAGGACTGAGCCTACTGTCTAGCTCGATGGTAGTCCAACATGCTCTTCATCATATCTCACATCTTCACAGTTTCAGTTTAGAAAGAGCTTCAGTAAAGCCTTGGGCTATTGCCAAACTTTAATTGGCTTTCTGCTATCACAAGTCCTTCCCTGCAGCCTTGCCTTGGAATCCAACTTCTGAAACAAGACTCTTCCACTCTGTTGTCTATTCTGTTTTTCCCAAATGGTCTGAGAACAAGAGCTGCACCTGGGTGTGACTTTTCATAAGGCCAGCTCCTACATCCAAGGAGAGATCCCAGAAGGATCTGTCACAGAGTTCAACTCTACTACTGTGGAACTCCTAAAGAGCTTTCACATCACAGAATAGAAACTCTGCCACTTAAAGCACTACCCATCCTCAAATCTTGACGCAGCCAGACCTCATTTTCAGTTTATTAACTAGTTAAATTTTCGGACTCTTCTGGGAAAGCTTTGGACTAATTGTTCTCTCTCCTTTATCAACCATTGTTCAGACAACACAGTCTATTACTACAGCTTTCCCGTTAAGTACTTAACTGGTGCAAGAACCTGGAGACTGAGTGCACTTATGGGCTGTTCTTTCCACTAGGACTGCATTCCCTTATTGCTCATTTATTTCAATACAGCCTTAAACGCAAACTGCAGTGGAGTACAAGTAATACTTTCTATACTAAATCACTGTAAGAGGAAGAAGGGTTTTTTTTTTAATTATCTGGTCTGTAAATAAGTTTTATGAGAGATGGGAGGTGGAGCTGTCAAAACAACCTGATTTTATGGCTCTATCCTATGTCTACTGAAGTCAGTGGATGCTCCCACAAGTACCATCATTTTTCTGTTTACCTGGAGGGTTTCCAATCCCTCTTATTGAATGCTTTTTCCATAAAAACATTTTTGCAAACAAGAAGGCTCCAATCCAGGTTTACTGATTATTTTGCTGAAGGTTATTACATATGTAACAACATAAAAGCAAGATATACCCAGCTAGAATGAGGGGCCTGGGGATTACAATTTTAAACATTTTGAGCTGTGAGTCATACTTTTTAGTTTTTAACCCAGTACATCAACTTAAAATGACTTCTACTAGCCTGAAAGATACAGTAATTCAGAAGCTACTCCACGAACTGTTCTGTCACTGCAGGTGCTGGAGCTTCTCTAGGGGGGCTGTGGCCAACAGGAAACTGCAGCAATCATTCACTTACCTAATTTTAATCTGCTGCTGCATCTGAGTCAGAACACATTTTGGCTCAAGGTATGGAGTTACATACTCAAAAGAATTTCAACTCCTAAGCTCTCTCCTACATATTAAAGACCAAAATTCAGCTGTTCGCAGCCCCAGAAATGGCTAAAATCTCCAGACACCTACATTAGTGCAAGTGAGCTTGCTCATGACTGTTTAGTCTGGGCAGTGCCATGGATGTATGGTACTCTGACGTTCATGAGGGTTCACAAATCCAGGCAGTCTTTGAAAAGGAGCAGGTTAGCTCATGATGATGGCGGCAGGAGGGGGCAGTCATCTTTTCCCAATAATTCAGCACTACAGCACTTGCCTGTGTCATAAGAAAACTTGAGATAGGTTTTTCTTTTTTGTTAAAGGAGGTTTGAACTAAAAAATAAAATCATAGGAGAACAGTAAATGTGAATCTGTTTTTTTCAGCTTCCTTTACTGAAACTGTCATGTGTTGCATGAAATGTTGAAAAAACAAAGAGAAAGATAACTTATCATCAGGCCAGGGACTGGAACCTAGGCCTGTCCTCTGACTAACAGTTTTCAAAATCTTGCTACAATTCTTGCTCTTTTCCCCTGTGCTGCAAAGGGGGATGGAAGTGCAAATAACTTCAGCACGAGTCTGTGGATCTATTTATCCTTTAATTTCTTTTGACTTACACTGTGTGTGATCCATTGATAGCAGTTTATCATTACGTATTTCACATTTTCACCCTAAGAGGTTGAATTATTTTATGCCCTTTTGAATCTGCAGCTTAACTGTAAGAGGTTATAGATGTATGACTTCCATTTGAGACCTTGACTGCTCTGCTGTAGTCTTCAGTGACTGACCACTATTAGGATCAATGACTCCTTCATTCTTTTTGCTTGTAAATTTCCCAAAGTGACTGGGAGCTTTCCCATCTGTTTCAGCAAGAGTGGGACCAAGGCCTCAAACCTAATGTAGCTTTTTTAGTACTGCCAGAGAGATTGACTATCCTGCTGATCCACCTTAGTCAACCATCTTAGTATTTATCATCAATAAATCTTTGCACATAATGAATCGCCACAGACTTGATCCCTTACACTGCAACATTGCTGTGTGAAGGATTGTTGAGCAATAACGTGAAACAGGACTTTAAATTCACCCCAGAACAACCTGGATGCTAAACCTTGACTTTATGGTATGGATCAGGAGAAATCTACACCATGATTAATCATAACGAACAATGAAGCTGTTTACAGACAATCAACAAGCAACACTTCATTTGTACATTTTAGCTGTGTTTTTAAATTGGGAAAAAAGCAAGCCATTAGGAAATGGTTTGGTTAATAACTTTTAATGACTATCTGTGGTGTTAGTAGCATGTTTTTGTTAACAGCTCATGAATCCACAAAGAACCATTTAACCTGCATCCTCCAATAACTGTATTAAAACAAGGCTATAATAATGGCAGCTACATACCTGGTAGTACCATCCAATTGCTCCTTCCTTTTATAGAAGAGAGGAAGCATTACAAGAAAGCAAGGAGAGAAGACTTATGTAATAAGTTCAGGACATTTTTAAACAGAAACTGCTGCTCTGTTGCTAATGGTTTACACCTCTTTTGTTCTGTGATCATAACTGACAGCAGAATAAAAGCTACATACATTTTCAACTAGTCATAAAGCAACAAAAGTGGTATAAGTTCCTGAAACCAAACTGTGCTGCTTAGACTGGCAATCCAGTCTCTGGTGAGAAGTGAACTCCCTTGCCCTCTCTCCCAGGACCTTACTTGAAAAACACCTACTAAATTTCAGGTCACATTTGAATCACAGAAGAACCTATGCACAATGAACATGCTTGAAGTCACAGTAATGAGTCTAAACTCCAGGAGAGCCTGAGAATTATTCTCTGAACAAAACCTAAGGTCAGGAAACCTTCTAGAAAAGATTCTGTAATGGATAATACAGGAATAGATAGAGTGAGAAAGGATAAAGAAAAGGAAAGAAATGTACCGACCCTTAATTAAACACTTGTGGTGTTTTTTCTTAGACATTTCCTCTAAGAACCTCTCTGCAATGCTCTGTTACCTAGAAAAGCCCCATTGACATGTATAAAGTCTATGTATCATTTCCTGACTTCACAGAAAACGATGATGGAGAAGTGGACAATGCACTTACCTGAAAAATGGAAACGATACAATTGATTCATAAAACCTCCAGGTAGCAACTAGATCAATCCTGTTGGGGTTAGTAGCATAGTATCTCCAGGCAGCCTGAATTACAAGGGAGAGGAAATAATTAGTGTTAGGTAAAGCTATTCCCCAGTCTGGCAGAAGCCAGGTTATTTCAAATAACATAACAACCACCTGAGTGACTATCTGGAAATTAATTACTGATCACCCATACTAAATAAGTGTCACTATATGGCAAAAATATTGACACTAGATTATGACCTGGAAGGGCTGTTAAAGGAGATAGGACACGAGAGAGAACCATCAACATCAATAAGACATCACACTTGACTAAACTGGTTTTATTCTCCTGTCTGGTATGTCTGAAAGAGCTTCAAGCACTGCTGGATTTGTACAATGTTTCTGGAGATGATTAAGCTAGTTTACTAGGACTATCATAGAAAACCTTTCTGAGCAATTTTCTATTTCAGCATTTAGCACCTATCAAAATTCTCTAAGCACATACCTAAAAAATACTGTAGCTAAATTAGCTATCTACTAAGCAGAAGTGCTTTAATTTAAAAGGTGAATTCAATTCACCACTTATCCCTGCAGTCCCTTTGGTTTACTATGGAGTTTTTTCAATGAGAACAGCACTCAGCCTGTTTCTCCTGAGGACTGGGTTGGTTCTGAGCAGTCCTGAGCACCAACACTTCTGTCTGTTATCACAGAGACTTTCTCTGTCCCTCTGTGGAAATGCTGCCATTTACTTCACCTGCCATCAGGGTGTGCTCCACATCTAGCAAGAGCAACTCCTGTCAAATTTGTTCGCCCCCCAGACTAGTAAATTTAAGCTTAATTTTCTGAATTCGTAACAAATGCCATAACTGAAGTCCAAGTGAGATAAGGAGTCTCTTCCCATTGAATCCTCTGATCATCCAGTGACAGAAGATCCAGGGTGTGTTTCAGTTTTTACAAACCACACATATTATTTACATAATTTGCCTTGATTGAAACAGTCACTGTCTATTGTGTTACTTGTGATGTGTTTGTGCATCAATAACAACATAACTTTTTTTGTACATAAAAGCACTTTCTCAAGGGAATGGACAAGACCTGGATTTTGGAAGAAAATATGTTGCAAACAGCTTGTTTTCTGTGATTTTGTGGCACTGATGCAGAAGTTTGTTGGCTTCCAGAAGCCAGAAGATGAGACCCTTTCTTCTAAAGACACTGTTCTTCTCAAAGATATTCTGGAAATGAAAAGATTCCTCAAAAACTGCAAGGACCACTGGATTACCTAGCTCAATGTTAAAAAAATGTCTCCTTTACAAACACAGCTTCTCACTTCCTGCAATGGGAAATGAGAACTTGGGCCAGGGGGAAGCAGTGGCCCTTATTAACATGATGCAGCAGTCTTCATCCACAACACTTTTTCAAGGAGGGGATAAGTGGCTGCAAACCTGAATGAGTTCAGCTGCTGGCTTTCTTCTTTTCTCAAAATGTTTTTGACGATGTTGCTCTTGGACCTTCAATGCCAGCCCTGAGCCCAAAATGCCCTGAAAGCATAGAATGATGCAAGATTTTAGACATTTCTTTATGAGAAAAAAATGGATGAATAATGAGAGGAAACTGGTCTGAGGGTAGAGACAGATTTGGCTACATGGGACCTTTATGCAGTACAGCTCTTGATCTAAAGGAAAAATATCCTAAAATCTGGACTTGGCATGGTTTCTGTTGCTATTTGGTCCATCTCACCCAGATCTTGTCTCATTCTTACCTGAGAACCTGGCAGACATGGCAACTATTTGGCTTATGTAACACAAGGGAACAAATACATTTTCAAAAGCAATTTAGAGATCATTTCTTAAGCAGCTGGAGTAGGATTCACCTAGCTAGATCAAAAATAGCAGTATTGTCACCTGCTATCTAAATTCCCTTTAATCTTAGTGGGTAGAAACAACACTTCCATGGTAGCATCAAAGATCTCTAGGAAGGAAGGGCAACAGGTGAGATGAAATGCCCTGCAGAGCTGCACTGGTTATAAAGGATGGCCACTGGTCTGTGACGATAACTCAGATGTAGATCTCTGGCTTGCAAGTGTTTACACCTGGGTAAGATGGGCCCAACCCTAATTATTAAAACAATGGTTCCCATGTCCTTTAAAAATACATCTTGTGCAGCTATGTCAATACCAGTAAAGTAACCCAGGCCAGAGTAGAGGCTCATTAACTGCCCTGTGCTTTCCCACACTGTTCACTTACTGGAATAATTCTGTCCTGTGCCAACAAGGACTGTCTCAGAAAATGCCCACGTGTGCTTCAAGGAGTATCGAGGTGACATTTTATTCCCAAAAAGCTCTATGCAAAGTTGGGAAGAAAGAGTTTGATTTACTGATATAGACCATCTCAAGTGTCTGAATTGCTTCTTAGAAAGGGATTTTGATTCCTCTGGCAGTTTTGATCACTTTTCCTTCTTTTTGCAAGTGCCCAGCACTGGGCTGTGCCTAACAGAGGACGTGGAAGATACTTACTGCAGGAAGAGCAAAGAAAGACACTCCAATGAGAGAGAACGTAGCTGCAATCAGCCGTCCCTCCCATGTTTTGGGAGTCTTGTCGCCATACCCAATCGTAGCAAGGGTGATCTGTGGGCAGAACAACCAGGATTTCCCATAATGAAAAAAAAGCCAACAGCTCTGTTTTAAATGTCACCATGAAACCTGCATAACTCATGTAGTTCTATGGGTCCTCATGTACAGCTTCTTAAAATAGGATCTTGATGATGGGTCAACCAATTTTTTTTTAGTGGCATCATAGTCCAGAAGCATTGCACCAGGGAAAATGGATTTATCCTTAAAGCAGCTGTCTCTCTAGGATGCATTTGCTGAAAGGGAGATCTATGGGACACTGCATGCAGAGTGAGTCTCCCACCCACCATCAGTGCCCAGTTAGGAATGGGACTTGCCAGTTTACAGCTTGCAGAGCTTTAACAAACAATCAGAGCTACCTCTCCCTTAAGTCTTAATCTCTGTAAAACAAAAATGACTTTGTGAAAACTTAATCCTTTCGTGCACGATTGCTAATTTCCAGCTGTGTACCTTTTTTTCACCAGCGAGTCTCTACCTAATGTCCTAGATATGTAAGGGTATGAAAATATCGAGGTGTTCTATTCAACACTTGGGACCTTTTGACTAATAATAGCGGGAGGGATTTTGCCATTTATGAGTGAACTGTAGTAAATAAAAAAATATGCTGCTGAATTTTAGTCACAGTATGATAGACTCCCCTAAGTATTCATAGCAAAGCAACATGAACTATGTCTACCACATGGCAGGAATATTTTGTGATCAAATGAGCAGTGGTGCAAACCAATACTCCTCTCTTCATAAGAAGAGACAAGAACAAATGTATCAAATGTCCTTCTTGCTCAGTATCCTACCATCAACATTATTCCTTGAGTGATTCTTGGGGAATGCATCTAAGACACAAAAGATGTGTTGAGTTATCCTTTCCAGACACATTTTGGACTGGTCAAATTTCACTCCATTAATCATAGCCCAGTGCTCTACCCTATCTAGATCCCTCTGTAAGGCTTCTTGTTCCTCAAGAGAGTCAACAGCACCTCCAGCTGGACAACCTGGTTTTGCCATTTTCTGAGGGACATAGCTCTCACAGCCAGGACTCAGCTGTCATGAGAGCTAGGTCTCTGACAGGCTTAGGCTCTGCCTGTGCAGTTATACCCGAAGAGAAACTCCTCTAAAAGAGAGATTTTTTGGAAACCAAGAGCACAGACTTATTTCTGAAAGGGGTTTATGCACCTAAGGGCCTTTGTCTGACTGAAAATCAACAGCGATGAGTTGTGTTTATTGGTTGTAGGGGCATTCCTACTTTGGTAATGTTATACCAGTAACATCCTCCTCACTCAAATTTAGCAGCATTTATACTGTAATCCTAGCATCAATACATTATCTCTTCTTGGATATTAAGAAGAGAATAAGGTATTTTTGGAGTCACTTACCAGCCCCCACCACAGTGCATCTGCATAGGTTTCAAACTCTTCCTTCATCTCCACCCCATTAGCATCCTTTTCAGGAACATCTTTTTCAACCAGATAAACAAGAAATGAGGACAGGATGAGTGTCAGGAACCCGATGTACCAAGCAGTGATGAGTTCCTGCAAAAGAAACAGATGGACAATGGAGGGGCTCAAAACAGTCTCAAAACCCACAGTGGCAGAGTAAATGTCAGAAGAGAGAAGCACCGAGGACAACAGCGGAGCTGTCACTTCTGGCTTGGTCACAGTCCATGACCAGCCCACCTCAGCACTTACTGGGAAATAATGCACAGATTTACAAGAATTAGCCCTCACATGGCATTTTCCTTGGGAACAGCTCAGAGCAATCTGCAGTTGTAGTTCTGCATAACGCTGGGTTAAGGGCTTAGCTGCACACACGACACAGGGTGCTGCAGGGCTCTGTCCCTCACCTTGACTCTTCCCATCCCTGTCGCCCCTAGGCTTGGTCAAATCAACAGCTCTGCCGTCTCCCTACCTCCACAGAGCCAAGGCAGCAGGAGGTGGTTTCTTGTCTTTAGGCATATCAAAGCAGGTTCTGAGGTATGATTTCAACATGAATTGATGTAATAAGACCTTGAAAATCATCTGTGTGAAAATAAACCTGAGCTTCCTTGTTTTAGAAGGAGTGACTACAGTGGAGTGTGCGGGTAATCCTACTGAGGTGGGAGATGCAGCAACCCAAGTTCAAATCCCAGCAATGTCTGAAACAAAGCAGAAACTTTTTTGGTGAAGGTCTTCACAAGTGGGTAAAAAAAAAAATATTCATTTTGTTTTCTGACAACTGCCTTTGCAAAATAAAAAAGAAAAAATGTTTGTAGATGAGAATTTCATAATTGAGTCTTGAGATAAGTCAACTTTCTTGGCTGATTTCTGGTGTGCAACCACAGAAGGAAATTTGCTGGCTAACCTTGTTATCAAAATTGTTTCTTTAGTGTCTTCAGTGAAGTAAAGTTATTGCAACCCCTTTGTATCTCTCACAGCCAGCTGAGGTCCAAAGGGTGGTGGTTGGGAACCAAACAAGGAACATTTGAATGAAATCCCACACAATGAAGCCTTTAACAATTTCTAAACAATCCACAATCTCAGTTTCCGAGAGACATTTTTGACATAAGTGTTTATGTGCCACCTGCCTTGTAGCAAGTTTATATGGGGAAGAAACAGAAGTCTGTTTGAAATAAAGCATGGTGGGTATCCCTATCAGCCACTAAAAAGAAGCAAAGTCTAATTATGCTGTGCCAGCTGGCATTTTAATTTTCAAAAACCTCTAAAATGTCAGGAATGTCATTCAGGGATAAGAAAAAGCAGTATGTAGCACAGAGTACATGCAATTTTTCTACACCCTGTGCAGATGAGAAATCTCATCTAGAGGATTTTTATGCAGATAGATTTTAACTTGTAATAATGTTTGGTGAAAATGCAAGAACACACAACCTATCTGTCTGGTGTGAGACAGGATTGTCTGACTATAGCATCAAGTTAGACTGATGATTTTAGAAATTTAGCGTGTCTGGGTTCACACTGTGTGCATCTTTATATTGCCTGAGCCATGCTACCAAAGAGAAATTATACCAGTAGCTCCCTCTGAAACCACATTTCTGCTAACCAGCCTCCTTCTATCCCTCTGGAGTCCTGCTGCATCTGTTGATCAGACAAGTCTGAGAAGCCACTACAAACATGTTGCAATTACAGAGGCATTTCTGTCAAAGATTTCAACATACTTCACCATCAAAGGGATGTCTCTGCTCTCATTCAGAGAGCAAAAATGCTGCTGTAATGAGTGTGGGAATGAATGTTCTCTCCTGTCACTTCCCAGCACCACTATTGAGCAAAGAAGGGTAAAACAAGGGGTAGAAAAGGTTCAGAGAATGAAAGAGGGAACAAAACTAAAAGGAGAAAACTATTGCTTGAACTACTAGACATAATCCCAAGGCATTGCTGTGCCTGTGCACCCCCTCTC